CGCGGTGTGAGGACTCAGTAGTTGCGGCTGCCTAGCTCTAGAGCACAGGCTTAGCTGCTCCATGGCATGTGGGATCTTCCCAGATCAGGGATCGAACCCCTGTCCCCTGCATCTGCAGGCAGATTCTTTACCACTGAGCCACCAGAGAAGCCCCCAGCACCTGGAATTTGATGAGACCCGTGGCCAGTGCTCGTGGGGTCATTTGGGGGCTCCTGGCAATTTGGGACCCCGCACTGTCACCCCAGCCTTCCTCTCAGCTCTGCTAGCTTTTATCTCTCCCTTGATTTTGGGAGGCTTCTCCCAAAAGGATCCCCATTTGACGGTGGGGCAACCCAGCCTGAGCAAGTGCTCAGAGTCCTCAAGTGCTACACAGAGGAGCTGGGGCAAGACCTCAGATCTGACTCCTGGATGCATTTGTCTCCTCCAGGCCTCACCAGCTCTTCAGGTTCACTGGACACTGAGCAAAGAGATATCAAATTCCTGTGCTAATTCCCTGGTGTGCTGGCTGTAGCCAGAGGGAATTGGATTCTAGAGTTAGGTTGCCTGGACTTGAATCCTGGCCTTTTTTACTCACCAGCTGTGGGACCCTGGGCCGGGGACTTAACCTCTCTGAGCCTCAGTTTCCTCATCTGGCAGATGAGGATAGTAAGAGTGCCTCCCACACAGGTGTGTGAAGAGGGATGTAAAGAGAGCTTAGAATGGTCCTAGCTCATAATATGCGTATCAGGTATCACACAGTTACATTTTAAAAAAACACTAATTTTATCTGGCTGCACCAGGGCTTGGTTGCGGCACACTCTTAGTTGCAGCATATGGGATCTAGTTTCCAGACCAGGGATCGAACCCGGGCTGCCTGGAGTCTTGGCCACTGGGCCACCAGGCAAGTTCCAGACAGTTACATTTTTATCATTCCTTTCCTCTCTAGTTTGGACCTATCTAGGATTTGAGGAAGGAGCTAAATAACTGTCCTGAACCTCAGCCTCCATGGAGACCCATGGGCAGCTTTGGGGCTGGGGCAGGAAGAGCATTTTGTCAGGCTTTCAACCCTGAGCTCTATGAGGAAAGAAAGCCTAGTGAGAGGTTCCTCCTTTTGGGGAGAAGCAGAAAGGAAGGGCTAGGAGTGAGGCAGTCATGGGTACCCAGTCCTTAGCTCCCCCAGAGCTGGCGGTTCCCCCCTCGACATAAGATACACACACACACACACACACACATACACACACATCCTGCTCCAAACCAAGAAAACTAGGTCAGCCTATTTGGGGAGAGGCAGTAAGCCACGTGCCATGTGTAGGGCACCCCCTTATTTGTGCCTGGAGCCCAACACTGCAAGGGGGGACCCCATTTGGGCCCTGGCACCACTGCTGCTCTGAGACCTTGGGTCAGCGCCACCGCCCCAGCCATTCTGTGCCTCAGTCTCCCCATCAGCACAGAGGACAGCCCCAAGGGTCCAGACTCTAGAATTCTCCCTGACAAGGGAGCAAAGGGCCACCTGCCTCCTGGTGGCTCTGCCCCCATGGGTAGAGTCATCCAGCTTCCTCTCTATCACCAGCTTCATCTCCTGACTTCATCTCCCTCAAGAGGCCCTCCTTTATCTCCTCCATTGAGGATGGGGCTTCCCAGAAAATTATTCTAGTGTCCCTGACACTGATCCCAGCAGAGTTCAGTTACTTCTGCAGGAAAATCCCCAAAGTTTGATTCTGTTGTCTTTCTCTTTATTTTAGACCTTGACCTTGAGACTCAGAAAGCCCCAGCCCTGACCTTGAACTCTCGGGCGTCCCAGCATACAGTAGCGGTCACACTTACCCCACTTGCTGGTGTGACTTGACCAGCTGGGAACTGAGCCCGGGTATGAGGGCCCAGGAAAGTGTGTCAGGTTCCAGACACACCTCTTTTTCTTTTTGTTTTTGTCCCCCTTGAAATAACATACATTTAATATCTCATAGTTCTGTAGATCAGAAGTCTGATCTCACTGGGGTAAAATTAAAGTGTCGGCAACACTTTGTTCTTTTCTGGAGGTTCTAGGAGAGAATGTTTTCTACCTTCTGCCTGTACTCCCTGGCTCGTGGCCCCTTCCATCTTCAGAGCTGGCAACGGCCAGCTGAGTCTTTCACGCATCACACCACTTTGCCTCTGCTTCCCTCATCATATTTCCTTCCCTGAATCCCAGTCACACCTCTTAGAACTGGGAAAGCAGCTTGTATTTCCAAGAGGTGCTCCCGTGGAAGGGAACCACTTGGGCCTTCCACGCCTGTCTCTACCAGAGCTGCTTCTTTCCCACAGGTATTCCAGAGAACAATCATGTTCTTAGAAAGGGTTCCCCAGTTCAAAACAACCACAAACCAACTAAGACAGCAGTGCCTCAGAAGATGGGCTGAGTCATGAAATCTGTGGGCTTCCCAGGTGTCTCAGAGGTAAAGAATCCTGCTGCCAATGCTGGAGATGCAAGAGATGCAGGTTCGATTCCTGGGTTGGGAAGATCCCCTGGAGGAGGAAATGGCAACCCACTCCAGCATTCTTGGACAGAGGAGTCCCTGATGTTGAAAACAGTCAGACACAACTGAGTGACTGAGCATGCATGAAAGATGCTTAGAAGCGTGCCTGACCCATTACAAGTGTCCAATAAATTCTACCTGGTATTATATTATTACTACTATTATAGTGATCAGCTTGCCAGGTTGCTTGCTTCTAAAACTCTTATGCTTAGTCAGCTCAGTCATGTCTGACTCTTTGCAACCTCATGGACTGTAGCCTGCCAGGCTCCTCTGTCCATGGGGATTCTCCAGGCAAGAATACTAGAGTGGGTTGCCCTGCCCTCCTCCAGGGGATCTTCCCGACCCAGGGATCGAACCCAAGTCTCCCTCATTGCAAGCAGATTCTTCACTCTTTGAGTCACCAAGGAAGCCCCAAAATACTGGAGTGGCTAGCCTATCCCTTCTCCAGGGGATCTTCCCAACCCAGGAATTGAACCAGGGTCTTCTGCATCGCGGGTGGATTCTTTACCAGCTGAGCTACCAGGAAACCCCTAACACTCCTTGGTACACAATAATAGTAACCATTAGTATTGTGGTAACTCAACTGCAGAGAGGATGCTCCCTTAACCCCAACACTGGTACAGATTTAAATGAAATAGTGAGAGAGAGGGGAGCATGCCTGGGTTAGTCCCCACCCCACCCCCTGTCCTACTAAGGGGCCAGGTAGCCATGGATCTGGCTGCCAGGTCAGATCTAGGTCCTTGGTTTCAAAACAGCCCTGTCTAGATAACGTCCCAGGAAACCCTGATGTCAATGCACTGGTGAGACATTAGAGCCAGCGAGAACTGGGTGGGCTCTAGTGTTAGCTGTTGGAGCTGTGGTTATCTCTACTTTTCTTGTTTCTGATTGGGCCAAATCTACACTCTTACAACCTTCTTCTCCCTCCCCACCCACCCCCTGGCATCCTGGACTCCAGGCCCAGGCGTGGAGCCTGGCAGCCACACTGGGAAATTGGGTTTGCCCAGAGTTTATGGGATGTGGCAGTGCTGGGAACTGGAATTTCCAGGGACCAGGGAAAAGCTTGCCGTGTTGGTCCCTCAGAAAGGTGGAGAATCTGGAATGTGCCAGCCAACTCTCTGCCTGGTAGGGCAACACACAAAGGTTTCTGGGCCCCATTTCTAGGGTGCCCCCTGGAGCCTCCATGTCATATCCAAGGTCCTCTATGTCAGATCTGTAAACTCTTGCAATTTCTTCCTAAAGTCATGTACAAGAGGAAAAGTAATCACCATTCATCCAATGTTTCAGTTAGTAGGATACTAGTTTGTTGGAATTTTGACTTTTCTCCTCTGTCCTCTCTGGCTAAAGAGGAAGTCCCCCACGTCCCATAAATGGAGAAAGTCCTCCTTGCTCATGGCCCATGTAGTAGTAGGTCCGCAGTGACTCCTGCCTCTCAGAGGTGACAGTGTGAATCTGGGGGCAGGATGGGAAATTCCCATCAAAGTGTGCTAAGAGTCATGAAGGCGATTGGTTGAGAAAATGTGACTAGCATCTCACTCCCTCCCACTCCTATAGAAACAACCCACAGCACAGGTCCAGCAACTAGAGGAAGAGAAATATTCTGTATCATCTTTCTACAGGGAACAGAACCACATTTGCTGGCCCCATCATCGCTTCCATTGTACAGATGGGAAAACTGAGGTTCAGACAGGTTATGTGACATGGCAAGTCCATGGTGGAGCTGGGATTTGTATTAAATCAGGTGGACCCTACTGTCCTATTCTTTCTGTTCTGCCCTCAAGGGCACATCAAATGGAGCCATGACCCCCAATCATTGATGGTTTGGGGGCTAAAGAAATCTTGGGTTAAGGACTTACCTGTGTGGTCCAGTGGCTAAGACTCTGCACTCCCAGTGCAGGGGGCCTGGATTCAGTTCCTGGCCAGGGAACTAGATCCCACATGCTGCAACTAAGAGTTTGTATGCTGCAACTAAAGATCCCACATGCCGCAACTAAGACCCGGCACAGCCAAATAAATAATAAACAAACAAATAAATAAAAGAGATCTCAGGTTAGCAGAGTAAAAGGTGGGTGCTGAGCCACTGGGTGGCCTTATCTGCTTTGCTTGTTTCAGATTAGAAATTCAAACACTCGGGAGAAAACAGCTTGTTTTCTTCCCTGTCTCAGATAAGCCTTAGCCGGGGCCTTGGCCACGCTCTCAGCGCCCCCAAAGGAGGGTCTTGTTGTGGGAGTGAAGGCTCAGATCCTGCAGAGGGTGGATCAGAAGACAGATGGCTGCTGGGGGCCGAAAGCCCCAGGAGACCCCGAGAAACCACGGCTGGAGTCCCTTGCAGTGCTGTTTCCAGCGCACACCCACCTATAGGATCTTGTCATGAAGAGGCGCCAGGCAGAGCCAAGCAGGGGCCACCAGGGGCTTGGTCTTCCTTACTGGGAACTGCAGGGCAGACTAAACTCAGTCGGCTCCCATGCCCTTGATCCCCAGTCATGGTCTCCCACCTCTTGTCTCCTCTAGATGGGATCTATTATGGAGACAACCGGTTTGACACCGTGAGTGAGTCGGGAACCGCCACGCTGAAAGCTCGGCCAAGGGTCCGGCCCCTGCTCACTTTTCTTCCGCTGGTGAGTATGTTCTGCCCTGAGGTCGGAGGGTCTGCTCTGGGCGGGCCATCTGGGCTGCCACAGAGGAGGCAGCCCCACCTGCCTTTGTCCCAGTGGTCATCAGCCTCACCCTCTGTCCATCCTCTTCCTTCCTGATGCCAACTGAGGGCGGCTACTGGGAGGAGGCATGGTTCACGACAGGAAGGCTGAGATTAGCGGTGTTAGCTCCTTTGAGTCGAAACCTCAGGAGAGGTTATGGGGAACTTGGGTGCAGAAGCAATGCAGCGGTGGGTACCTCCAGCTCAATGGGACTCCTATTCTACATTTACCAGGGGCTGCCTGCTCCATGCCAGGCCTTGCATAGAATGTTGGGATTCAGAGATGATTGAGCCAGCTTTGCTCAAGGAACCCCCTACCCAGTATAGGGGATGAATTGGTAAAGAGACTGTTAATACATAGGCCAGAGCAGGAGCAGCCGACCTAGCCACAGGGGTTGGTCAAGGAAGGCTTCCTGGAAGAGGCAACACCTCGACTGTCTCAAAGGTCAAATAGCAGTGACCCTTGGGAGAAGGGCATGTGAACTGCTTTATTTGTGAGTCTGAAACTGCCAGAAACCAAACACTCCCTTCTGGAGCCTGTGGTTGGGCTTTTGTTCTCTGACAAGGGAAAGAGACTCAAAACAATCTCTCTGTGACTGGTTCTATTTACTGTGATGAGAGCTCTGGCTTTTCCAAGACAGCCTAGGCCCGTGCTGTCCAATAGAAATACAGTTCAAGCCTCGTGTATAACTTTATCATTTCTAGTAGCAACATGAATAAGAAATAGGTAAAATTAGTCCTGAGATGATCATTCCAATTCTAACCAACGTAGAAGGTATGACTGAGATGTTTTACATTCTTTCTTTCACGCTAAGTTGTCAAAGTTTAGTGTGTCGCACTTTGAGCACACATCCTGCTTCTGAACTTGACATTTCAAGGGCTCAATAGCCACTTATGGTCAGTGGCTAGCATATACAACAGCCCAGATTTAGACCTAAACAGTCAGCCTCATAACTTCTAGTTTCATTACCATCTGTGAGACCTGGGTCCCGGTTGGGACAATACTGTCACAGGGATCACAGCATCTCATACCTCCATGAGGCTCTGTTCTGCCTCAACTCAGAAGGCACCAAATCCTGATCTGAGTTTTCAGGGGCCCATTAGACCTCACAGCACACAACACCTTGGTCCCTGCACCCACAAGTTCTGCCCAGCACCGCCTGGCACAATGACCTCCGCATACTCAGAATTGCAGCGGTGGGCACCCAGGGCTGACATACCCGTGCCCACTGTGGTTGATAAAATATTGAAATAAATGGCTGTCGCCTCTTGAGTGGCTCTTGCTCTCTTAGCTCCTCTCTGAGGTCTGCACCAGCAAGTAGAGGGTTAATGCGGCATAACTGAGTTTGTTCTGATTGGTCAGCATCCCATATCCCTGCCTCTACCCACCCATCCACTTTGGACCACGTTAGTAACAGCACAGCCCCATGCCTTTCTGCCCTCCTCCCTTCTGGTTTGGGTCCTCTGGTTTGGATCTGATCTGGGCCAACCAGGGCCTGACTGGGAGTGCTGCCCGGGGTTAGGGTCTGCTGGCTGGCACTGGCCTGGGAACAGCCCTTCAGGACCAGCCTCAGACTCTGTCCCAGGAGATGGGGGCTTCCCCCCAGCAAACTCACAGCCCCTCATTGGTGAGGACGAGGGGACGAACACACTGTGAATCCACGACTGAAAGGGGCCTCGTGGGGTCCACACCAGCCTCCCTTCACACTGGCAGGAACTGAACCCAGAAAGGGAAGGTCATTCCATGCCTTCAGTGCCAACTGTGCAGCTGGCGTGGCCATGAGATCGTGACCGACACGTGCCTTCCTATGTGTCAGGCACCATCCCAATGCCTAGCGTGTGTTAACTGAACTGATAGAGAAACTGACGCTCAGGATGGGGAAGTAACGTGCTCAAGGACACGCAGCTCATAAATGGCAGAGCTGGGGTTTGTAGCCAGGCTCCAGGGTCCAAGTTCTATCGGGCCATCCTACCTGCCCCTCCACCTACAACCTAGAAGCTTTTCCTTCTTCCCTGCCAGCATCAGCCTGCAGAACCACCTGCATCTCCTGTGTCTGCCTCTCTAAACTCCTGCCTGGCCTTTTGGGGATCACCGACCCCTCTGAGACCATGCTGAGGCTGTGGGCCACATCGACACGATCTTGCTTACAATTCCAGCACAGGGATCTCAGGCCCCGGACATCTACCTATGATGCACCTTGAGATTAGGAGCCCTGAGCCTGACTGCCTGTGACCCCGGGATGTGTTTTGCTCCTGACTCAGGTCCTAAGATACAAAGCAGCCTCAGCATCCTTCATCACCCACTCCTGGGTTATGGGGAATCCAGCTCCTCTGCCTTAGGCTCTGGACTGGGGCCTCTGCTTTCTTCTCGCCTGGGCAGAAGGCCGGGAGAATGAGAGGCAGGAGGACAGAACTGAGGGTGGTGCGGGTTCACACACAGACGAGCACATGCACACCCTGCCCCCCAGCCCCGCCCCCCCCTGCCCAGCCAGGTGGGGTGGGGAGCTGGGCTGTGACACCGCCTCACAGCGGGGCCTCGCCCCTCCCTGTCCTGCCTTCCCACACTCAGGGGGCTCCTCCCAGGCCTGACCCTGGGGCAGGGGAGGGGGCAGGCTGCAGTGCCCATGACAGGCCCATGTTCTTCCCTGAGTGCCATCCAGGCTGGGCCGTGTTCTGAGCTCACAGTTGTTCTCACGACCCCTCACGAGCCCCCCGTGGGACGGTGTGAGAGGGGAGGGCAAGATGAGGGGGGAAGGGCATGGCTGGTGCTTTTGCTTCCTTCCTAGACCTTCCTTGCCTACTGAGGTGAAAGTGCAGAGGATGGAGAAATATCTTGGCCAACTGCATACTTCCCCAGGCAGCTGGCCACCAAAGGCTAGTTACGAGAAGGACCCTGGGACCTCTCGGGGTCTGCGACGGGCTCTGGATTGATCCTCGGGTGATGGGCACCAGTCCTGGCTCTGCTCTGGGCCGTGAGGCCCTTCCTCTCCTGGGGCCTCTGGCTCCTCACCCCGTCAGCAGGGTTACGTGGGATGATCTGCTAGGATCTCCTCAGCTGTGACTTTCTGTGTTCAAATAACTCAATAACAGAGGGGCAGGAGGTGGGGTCAGCTCCCTGGAGGCCCCCAGAGATGCCAGGCCCTCCAGGGCTCCCCCCCAACCCCGCCCCGACTTCCTGCTCTGATAGCTCCAAGAAGCTGGATTAGCATGGCAAACCTCAAAACTGGGGGTTCGGGGAGGGGGGTGTTTGGAACTTGGTTAGCGTCAGAATAAGAAAACTGAAGCCCAGGGAGGAGGGATGCATGCAACTCCCTCAGCTCCATGGAGGCAGAGACAGACCCCAAGCCCAGGTCTTCTCCTCCCAATTCCAGTCTATACCACAATGGATGGGCCTGGGCTGAGTGGGGGAAGTGTCCTTTCTTCCCACTTCCTTCTCCCTCCAAGGGGAAGCTCAGCCCAGAACTCAAGCCAGAGCCTGTCCCTAGCTTCTGAGAGCTGAGATGGTAGGACGGTAGGACGGCTGGTGGTGGGAAGGGCAAACTTGTCTCTGGGGCTGCCTGTGGCCCTACCCCAGTCTGAACCCGACCATCTCCAGGGCAATGCATATGAGGAATTAAAGAAATGCCAATGAGGCAAATATGGGGAAACTGGCCAGACAGGTCCCCGGGGTGCCTCCGGCGGCGAGAGCTCCCTGGGTCACCCCACCCTCTGAGTCAGGCAGGGCTGGCAGGGCCTGGGGAGATGTCAAGCTGGGCTCCGGGCAGGAAGCCTGACTGTTTTGGGCCCCACCCTCTACTCAGCAGAGATGCAGCCCTAGTCAGCTGGATTTCTCCTTTCTACTCTTCCTCTCCATCCCCCGGCCCCGGGAGCTGTCTCGGAAGCCAAGGCCCAGGCTCCCTTTGGGGTTGGCGCTCCTTGGGTGCCAAGGACCGCCCTGGGAAGGGTGGTTGGTCATGATTGGCTTTTGAGTGATTCCCCTGGCTGAAGTTGGCTGTCAGGGCTCTGGGGTAGGGGAGCTTTGTGTGTTCCTGTGGGAGTGGGTGTCAGAAGCCTGCAGCCAGTGTGCAGATGGAGCACCCCTTCCCCGCTGAAGCCACCCTGCCTCTGCCCACCTTCCACAGGGAGGGCCTCAGCCTGAACCCCCAAAGCCCAACACACACCCTCATCCTAACCACATATGACCACCCCTTGGCCACCCTATGGGTCTTCCCAGGTGGTGCTAGTGGTAAAGAACTCACTTGCCAATGCAGGAGACGTAAGAGATGTGGGTTCTATATTCCTGCGTCGGGAAGATCCCCTGCAGGAAGAAATAGCAACCCACTCCAGTATTCTCTCCTGGAAAATCCTATGGACCAAAGAGCCTGGCAGGCTACAGTCCATAGGGTTGTAGAGTCGGACACGATTGAAGTGACTTAGCACACACACGTGGCCACCCTGTGGGTTCAGGGATGTTTGCCCCCCGCTCAGGCTGCCTTCAGAAGGACTGGTTGGGAAAGAAGCTCTCGAAGTGACCTAAAGTGTGAAAGCGTTAGTTGCCTCAGTTGTGTCCAGCTCTTTCTGACCCCGTGGACTGCAGCCTGCCAGGCTCCTCTGTCCGTGGGGATTCTCTAGGCGAGAATACTGCAGTGGCTTGCCATTTTCTTCTGCAGGGGATTTTCCCAACCCAGGAATTGAAACTGGATCTCCTGCATTGCAGTTCTTTACCACTGAGGCACCAGAAGAGGCCTAAGGGCCTATTTAAATGGAGGATTCTAGGGACCTTAGTGTCTGGAGCAAGGTCAGGAAGGGGGCGGTGTGGGCTCTTAGGGCTTGTCTCCTTGAGCCTATGGACTCCTTGCCCTGCAGGGAGACAGAGTACAGCCCTCTATAGATGAGGGTCCAGGGCCAGGCCCTGTAGCCCGTCTGAGAGATCCTGGGGTGTCA